GAGAGCAGTCCCAATGAAATAACTAAAGCATTCATGAATAAGACAATCTGATTTGCACCCTATGATGAGTTTGTAATCAGTATTTATACTATACATATCTCGCATTATATCAAAATATAATTATGCACATTCAGTGCATTTATGTCAACAAATGTTAAGTGTCAGTTTGAATTATTCATAAATGAGAATAGATTTCTTGTCGTAAAATATTACAAATAACTAAGGTGCAGTAAAAGGGCAGCAAACTACAGTTTAAGCAAACAGAATAAAAGAGAACCAAACTATAAAAAAATACACCAAGGACTAAACAGCAGCCACTTGGTGTTAGGCAGATAGAATGAAACATTTACTTTATGCGAAAAATACCAAATGTAGCTAAACTGCTTTAAAACAGACAATATAAATCACATTTAAACCACAAGAAAATACCAAAAGTTAAAAAGCAGCAAACTTACTTTATACAAACAATAGATTTATACTGCAAGAAGATTTGTAACAATCCTATAAAAATTCACAAGCAGAGCCATTCATAACCTTAGATTGACTTCACAGAAATGTGAAACGTTTCCAAAATTTTAAAAATCAAAATTGACATTACTTATGAATACATTAAATCATTGGTGAGTTGTTTAAAATTCTATAATTACAAATGCCCTTTATTTCTCTCCTATATATCTCCTATCTTTTAAGAAGGATAGGCCCCACCCCTCCCCAGAAAGGTAACATTCAGGAGAAAAAAAGGTATTAAAAACTAAAGGATTGCATTTTCAAAAGCACTCTGTGCTAACTATAAGAGGAGTGTAAAAATCCCATTGATTTCAATGGGACCAAAGTTAGGCCAATGTTGAATGCTTTTGAAAATCCCATCAGGAGTCCATAGTGATCACCATTAAAATGCTAAAGTACAGTAGGGGACTTTTAGATTCCTCTTGCAGTTCTTCTGGTACCTCAGCATGTAAGACCAACCAATTCTTGACTTTCCTACATATCACTGAATATATGTAGGTCTTGTAACCTGAGTTAGTGTAACAAAGTTCCAACATTACCTCTGAATTTGGCCCATAAACTGTCACCACAAGCACAATTTCTGCAGTTTAACACCTCCGTACTGGAGTGCCCTTTGCTGGAGATTCTCATATGTCAAATATTAGCTACCCAGTGCATCCAGAAGCATCTAAAGCATTTCATTTCTAGTTTTAAGGAACGCTTGTTTTGTTTTGGTGGTATGACAGAGTGCTGGGAATCAGTAGCTGAACCAGCACTTTGGTCACTGTGTAACCAATTAGGCCCCATGAGACGACCTGATGAAAAAGACTAATTCCTGATTACCAGATCAATCTGGGACAGAGACGGTAATGAGCTAATTAGCCCATTAACAAGGAGACTGAATAAAATGCAGGGGTGAATAGACTGACTGACCATCTATAGATCTGTTTTGTGGGAGCAGGGGGTAGTAAAATTTGAGCACATTTCACTGGTGACTACACTAGAAAGCAGAAGGTGGTGAAGTGAAACACTGTAGATAAATAGCATTGTGGAATCTACATGTGAGAAAGTCTCTGAGCTGTCTAGATTAAGCAAAGAGGGTGGGAGCAGAGGGTGCTCTGTCACAGGTGGGCATTAGTGCAATATTCCTTCCTTTTATACTCCAGCTCACTCTTTCTGTCTGGCTGAGGAACTTAGAAATCATAATCAGGGACCAAGAATAGTTCAGCTGTATATCAGATAGCCTAGATAATACATTAAATATATGCAGTTTGCAGGTGTATATTTGCATATCCCTAACTTACTGAAGTTGTAAAACATCTAAGGTGTGTGTGCAAACCAGGTATTGTTCGGGTTGCCAACTCTCCTGGATTGGCCGGGAGTCTCCTGGAATCAACCTCGATCTCCCGGTGGCTATTGAAAGCAATCCAGGAGATTTTAATATGCTGCTAAAAGTTCGGTTGGCAGCACAGTGGGGCTAGGGCAGGCTCCCAATCTGCCCTGGCTCTGCACGGCTCCCGGAACTGACTGGCACAGCTGTCTGGCTCCTAGGCACAGGGATAGCCGGGGGTGGGGGTGTCTCTGTACGCTGCTCCAGCCCCGTGTGCCAACTCTGCAGCTCCCATTGGCCAGCAACCCTGGCCAATGAGATCTGCGGAGGCAGAGCCTGCAGGCAGGGGTAGTACGCAGAGCCACCTGGCCGCCCCTGAGCCTAAGAGCCGGACATGCCGGTCGCTTCCAGGAGCTACCCGAGGTAAGCGCTGCCTAGCTGGAGCCTGCACCCCTCACCTCATCCCAACCCCCTGCCCCAGCCCTGAGCCCCCTCCCGCACCCATACTACTTCCAAGAGCCTGCACCCCACACCCCCTCCTGCACCCCAAATCCCTGCCCTGAGCTCATCCCGGAGCCCCTTGCCACACGGTGAACTTCTCGGCCTCACCCCCCAGCCCAGAACCTACACCCCCTCCTATACCCCAGACCCTGCCCCTGCCTGGTGAAAGTGGGTGAGGCTAGGGGAGGGCGAGTGATGGAGGAAGGGGGGATGGAGTGAGTGGAGGCCGGGGCCTTGGAGTAGGAGCAGGGTGGGGTGGGGCAAGGGTGTTTGGGTTTGTGTGATTAGGCAGTTGGCAACCCTAGTTATTGTGCATTCATGTGACCAGTTATGGGAAAATTATGTGCATATTCTGAGTGCCTAGTTATGCAGCCCCTCTACAGCAGCAAGTCTCATTGACATCAATTAAATCAATTCCAATTGTTCAAATGCAGTGGCTGCATAATCATGTTCTTTTTGTATTTTTTTCCTGCTGACACTCTCCTTTGCTACTGGGGAAATGAAACGTAAGCCCCTCTGACCTTTCTATCTCATTCTTGCTTTCTTGCACTTCAGATTCCTCTGGTGTTTTTTCCCCCCAATTCCCTCCACTTTCCCCGCAACCACTGGCTTACTATCTCTCCTTTTTCTCATTTATACACTTTCTAATCACTTCCTATCTTGTTATCCTCAGTTTACATTTTCCATTTTTCTTCTGTCATTTCTGCTCCATCACTCTCAATATTTCTTTCTATTATCTTTTCCCCTTTCCCCTATTATCTTTTCTCCTAATGGCTGCTTTCCACATTTTCCTGGCCATTTTCTTTTACCACTCTCATTGCTGCACCCCTCCCCCCCCACACACACCCTCTTTCCTCTCCAATATGTAATTTGTTATGCACTCCCTTTCAGAAAAGGAACACTTTGAATTAATGGTACAACTTTCCCTGGAAAAGGTGGATTTCTGATGATCATAGTACACAATCACTGCGTAGCATGCCAGGACATAGGTCTTGATAGAGGAGTCCCAGTAAGTTCAATAGGATTATTTGTGTGAGTGAATGCTCTTCAGTTTGTGTCAGACTTTACAGTCTGACCCATAATGACTTGTGATAAATGAAGGGGGAGGGATAGTTCCTTTTTATGGACACCCAGCCAGCAAGTTAGCTATAAAGTCCCTCTTGGTGGCAGCTTGGTTTACCTGTAAAGGGTTAAAAAAGTTCCCTGGGTAAAGGAAAGGAAGTGGGCACCTGACCAAAAGAGCCAATGGGAAGGCTAGAACTTTTAAAATGGGGGAAATACTTCCCCTTTCTGTCTGTGGTTGTTCTCCGGGAAGAGGGGAACAAGGCAGCAGTTATGCTGTGAGAAGGTGAAGGCCAGATATGAATATCATCAGATCATATCTAGAACTACTTATTTAACAACCCTTTTATGTATGTAGATCAGGAATGTTTAGAAAAATGTGATTAGGTTTATTTCTGTTTATTTCTTATTGGCTTGTGGACTCCTCTGCACTAACCCCAAATGCTTTTTTGTTTTGCTTGTAACCTTTAAGCTGGACCTCAAGAAGGTTATTCTTGATCTTTAATTTTTGTAAGTGGGTTTTTCAAAATCTAGCAAAAGCCTAAGTTCCAGATGTATTTTCTTTCTTTTTGTTTTTATAAAATTTACCTTTTTTAAGAACAGGATTGGATTTTTGGTTTGTGTATATGTTGTTTAATTAGCTGCAGCAACAGCTAATTTCCTTTGTTTTCTTTCTCAGCTCTTCCCAAGAGGAAGGGGGGGGGGGAAGAGTGAAAGGGCTTGAGGGTACCCCCCAGGAAGGAATTCCCAAGTACGCCTTCCTGGGTTCCAAGGAGTTTTGCATTTGGGTAGTGGCAGCATCTACCCATCCAAAGTCAGAGAGAAGCTGTAACCTTGGGAGTTTAATACAAGCTGGGAGTGGCCAGTATTAATTTTTAGAATCCTTGTGGGCCCCCACCTCTTCACTTGAAGTGCCAGAGTGGGGAATCAGTCTTGACATGACTATACAGGGCACTTTAAGCTGTTTGGGGGAAGGAATCATGGTCTATCAGTTTATGCAGTACCGAGCACTGGAGGCCCCCCAATACTGGTTGGGGCCTTTGGCTGCTACTGTAATATAAATAAATGATGACAATGTGTTACTTTCCAAAGGGGATAAGGATATGTGGAGTCTTACTGTACAACCGTGCAGATACTAAACTGGCTAAATAACTTGCTGACTACAGGTGGGAATTTCAGAGAAACATTAATAGAGGGCAGTGAGCATCAGTAAGAGGAGGTATTTGTAGGTAGGCATTTTCAGTATAAACTCTTGCTCTTTTGGTTTCCTGGAGTGTGTCATACACTGGGGCGAAGGTGATGCAACCTAGTGATCAAAACAGGAGTCAGGCCTATTGGTCAGAGCAGAGCCAGATGGTGAAATTGGACTAGAAATCAAAACGTAATTGGAGTCGTGCTCAGGAGATAAGCCAGAGGTCGGAGCCAGGGTGATCAGAGGAAAGTCAAGACCAGGGCTGGACTGGGAAGAGGTGTGGGTTGGAGCAAGGACCAGTACAGGCGGCTGGTCTGGCACAGTTATGGGCATGCAACCCATTGCACTGTTACTGTTGCTACAAGGCTTAAATGATGATCTGTTTTTGTCCAACCTGGGAGTACAGTCACTTAGCGAGAGCTTATTCGGTCCAGTCAAGCTCATTCGGTTGTCAGATGACCATGCCTGGATCCAGGTGAGTTCTTGACATAGTGGATTTTGTTAGTGTAATATAAGGAGATGTTGTAGACATTAACCCCTTGCTGCCACTAGCTTCTGTGGGATTCTATTATTTAAAATGTCCAGTGGTTACAAGCTGAGGTTCTGCTGACTTCCTATTTACTATTCTATTACTACTTCTATTACTATTCTATTACTACTTCTATTTACTATTTTTCTAATCTCCTCTTATTGTTGAATGATATATTTCAGGATAGGACTGCAAAGTCTCTTTGTTCCAGGCCTGATGTAATAAATCTCATGTTGGACATGCGCTGGTTGGGTCAGTGACACACAGCAATATTTATCCTATTTCCATTTGTCCCCTCACTTTTTCGTAGTCCCTTTCAAATCTGAAGAGTATTGAACTTTGCTCATTGTACTTCAGGTGTCACAGGAGATGGATGACATTTCTCTAGGGTTGAGCATTGAAGTTGGCACTGCAAGGGTAGGTTTGATGCTGGACATACATTATTTCCTTGCAAATATGTTGACATATCACTAGTTGTCACATAATGATTCTTTTTGCTATTCCTTGCACAAAATGTATTTGATGTCAATCTGTTTCAATGTCCATGAGTCAATGAAGTATTATTTCTTCCAAAGAAGTAAAACTAAATCCCTGGGCATCTTTAATGTTGCATGTAAATGGAAATACATTATGAAGTTGTCCAAAGGACAGTATAAATATCTAGGTTAAAATTATGGTTTTTCTTTATTGCCGCTACAAAGATTCCTCTGCCGTACATGTTTAAAAAAATACCATGATCATAGAAACCTAAGCAAGTAGGTATTACATTTATGAATAGGACTCAAGCTTTTTTTCTTTTCATTCTCATTTCTACGGTTCATAGTTAATGACACATTTTAATCCTGAAGAATATATTAATGAAAAGCTATGTTTAAATAATGGAAACAACAACAATGGAACAGTATGCCATTTAAAATAAGGGGAATATTTCAAAGTGCCTCCAATAAAAAAGGAGAAACAAATGGAAATTCTATGCTGCTCTGTGGCAGCTGGATGGACATATTGTGATATGCACACTTATGAAGTCCTCAGGAGGAAAAATATTGATGAAAAAATGTGACAAAAGGATCGTTTGCACAGTTAAACAGATATAAGCTACAAGGAAACAAGGGAAACAAAAAAACCAGAATATTTTAAAAATATCTTTCAATAAACTGACAACTCTAACCAGAAATTAAAGGCCAGACCTAACTTGTCTAAATTAGATGGCAAATTCTTTGGGGGCAGTGACCATTTCTTTATGTTACCCTCTCCCATTCCTCTCATATTTTGTGTATGTGTCATTGTGGGCACTGATTCTGCAAACACTTGCTCAGCATGCTTGATTTTGCATATGCAAGTAGTTCTATTAAACTCAGTGGGACTCATAGAAGCCAAGTTTTGTGCATGTGTGACATTGTATGCACCTGAATGAGCAAATTTGCATATTTGCAAATAAATTTTATATAAACTCAGTTTATGGTCAACACACCATACTACAAGACGGAGGATGTGTGCGTGGGGAGGTAACAAAGAGACTTGCACAAAGCATGGCAACTATAGCTAGCGTAGGGGGGAGGGTCATACAGGGAAAGGTGGAAAGGTGTCTGATGGTGCTTGAGTTGGTTAGTGGGTGGGTGCTGAAGGGTATCTATGGGAGCGAGGGTGTCAAAGATACAAAGGTTGCTGGGTGCTAGGGTATCTGGCTGGTAGGTGGGTCTGGGGTCACTGGAGTAAGTGAGAGGGAGGGTGTCTATCTAGAGGTGCTTGGATCTAGTTAGTGGGTACTGGAGGATGTCTGAGGTTTGGCTGAAATAGACTGAGATTGGAAGGTGGGGAGGGAAGCGTAGAGTGTCTGGGTGAAAAAGGTTGCTGGGTGTTGGGGAGTTTGGAAGTCTGCTTTCTCACAGACTAGGGAGGGTATGTGGGATCTGCCCAGATGGCTGGGGAAGCAGGTTATTCATGGGCCAGTACGGAGCCTCCTTACCTTCTGTACCCACCTGCCAAGTGGCCCCTATTGCTACTGCCACTGATCTCTTCTCACTGAGGTTTCCATCTCTTCCTCCCCAGCAGAAGAGCCAGAGAGGCTGCTAGACTGCCTGCTCAGCCGACACTGTAGTGTTCATGTGACAGAAAGTCTAAATTGCAGGAAAATTGCTGCTGTCTTCCCTCTTCTCAGCTGGATGCATGAGGTGAGATGAAGGAATATTTGACAGGGCTATCAAATGCATGACTGTCGTGTGAGACATGTGACTTTTGCCATCCCTGGGAACTACTCATGTGTACATTTATTATGCCCATAAGGCTTTGCAGGCATGAGGCATTAGATTCTCTTACAACTCTGCCAAGCAGACACTGTCTTCATATTTACTTGAACAATGCCTACAGCAGTGTGGCCTTGTTCTTGATTTGGGCCTCTAGACACTCACATGATACAAATAATCAGTGCTACTACTGATGATAGTAAATTCTGCAGCAAAACAAGCATGTATTTACATATATGAATTCCCATTCAAATGTGCAACTGTGTGTTTTTGTATGTGCAACAAGTGTTCCAAATTTTTGAATTTTAGCCAGAAATGCTTATGAAATACTTTACATTGTTAACATTTTGAGATACCCTGCACTCAGTTACACTGATGTAAATGCAGAATAACCATTCCGATATAAAGAAGAATTCAGTTAATATTTTATAGGTGAAAGTGTTCATAAGTAAAATAGGCAAAAATTGAGTATTAAAGAGGGAGGTTTTTAAAATTGAATTCATGGGAAAGAAAGGGATTAACTGTAATAGTTCTTTTTTATTGTTTGGACAATAAATCAGTTGTAAAGAATTACATACACTACATTACATATTTTTAAAGCACATCTTGTTTTTTTAGTGTAATTGTGGGATGGAAAAAACACAACACTACTCGAACTTCGCAAGAATATAAATATCGAGACTGATGCTCAAGTCCTGCCTGTATAGTCAAAATAGACATTGTACTTGAGAAAAAGACTTCCTTTATTACTGCAGATGTTTTGATTTGATGGACAGCTAGTGGATTATTATTTACATTAACCTTAGTTCAAATAAAGTGAATTCAAGTTAAAATCCCACCAAAAAAAGAGTGATATAAAATATAATTGTAATAGAGGTGCTTCTTTGACCAAAGATAATTTCCTGTTACATGAAGGAATAGGAATCTTTGAAAACCATGTAGAAAAACTTCCAACATCCATATATTATATTTCCCAGAACTATCAGGAGGGGGTGTCTGTCTTATACATTGATGAAGTACCTCGTACAATGGGACTCCAGTCTTGACTGGGGCTCTTGGATGCTACTGTAATATAGGGTAATTAATAAATAATAATAATCAGCATAATCTGTGATTATAATGTTTGCATCATCTCATGATCAGGAAAGGGTAATGAATCAAGTGTTATTGTATGTAGTAAGAATGAGATTTATATCTTTTCAGATGTTTTAAAAACTCCTCATGTCTCAAGAAAAGAATTACTACTTTTCCATGCTGAATTTTGTTCTTAGCCTTTCTTGCTTCTATACACTTTCCGACAAAATTGCAGTTGAATAAAGACCAGGAAAACTGTGTTTTGTGACCAGGGTGATTGTAAATCATTTTTGTTTTTCCAAGACTAAGAAATTTGCTCCTGAAAAGAGTATAAGTGGACTTGATATAGACATGTCTGTTTCATTACTGTCTCATTTTGAATCAGTGCTGTCAGATGATCTTCTAATGCAATACCTAATGCCAATACTATTTAAGTTACATTTAAATATTTTAAAAGCTCAATGTTCCTGTTTTATATGTTCATCTCCAAGATGATTTGAGGCCCATTTTTCCTTGACAATAACTTGATGTTACTGTGATTTAAGATTAAATGTCTACCTTTGAACTTTTCTCTTGTTATTCATACAGATTCCCTTGAAGTAATAACATAATACAATTATCATTCAGAGCCAGAGAGGTGTGGATGAGAGCTGTGAGGAAGCACTCATGAACCACTTTTGGGGTACTAAACATGGTGCTGAGGTGAGCTGCTGCAGGATGAATTTCACCACTGTGTGGAAAAGACATAACGTCTATGCAAGTCCCACATGAAAGTCAAAGAGAAACTTAAACTGGTCCTCTGCACAAGGATGGATTTCAGCTCTTCTGCCCAACATATGTTTTGAGGCATTGAGCAGAGAGACTGTTTGCTCGGAACCTGCAGGCACATTTCTGTGTTAGTGGCTGACTTATCTACGCCTAGGCGGTGTTCTTTAGCACACTTGAATAAGCCACTAATCCTGGTCAGTAGGAGTAGTAATTAAACATCTAAAATGTCTGCTATTCAAATATTTTGCATTCACCACATTACACTTTAGCAGCTTTGGCATATTATACATTATGGGCCTGATCCATAGCCCATTGAAATCAGATGATGCTGTTGCCTGTTGTGATGCCTACTTTTCCCTCTCCTCACCAATAACCAGTTCAGAGCAGATGTAGAGATTTGCTCATATTGCTGATCACTGTGAACATTTCTCTAAACTCTACTCCAGCCTTTCAGCACAGGTGCAGAGCAATGCTGAGTGTTGAGAGCTACTGCTTTGGCTCTCTACTTCTTTCAGCACCATTCTGCAGCTTGAACAGCTGATCCCTAAGAGATTAAGAAGTTTACTTAATGAAAAATAGTGTTTCTTTTGCTAGTTCTCAGAATGCTTCCAATGTCTCCAGCTGACGTACAGATGATGAATGAGGTCAACTTGCTTAAATCTATGTTATTTACATTATATTACTGTAACTCATTAAACATGCTTAAAGGAAAATATAGTTTTCATAATAGAATAAAATTGAATATCTTTCCAATGACTTGCACCATTTCAGGTCACCTTCTTCTCCATGTCCTATACTGAGAAGAATTAGCATCACCTTCAGAGAAAGTGGGTCATCCAACCTTTTATGCATAGATACAAAATGGTAAACCAAAGTGGGGGAGGGGAAGGAGGCAGAAGCAAAAATTACAATTAGTCTAAGTGAGAGCCCACTGCTACTTCTAGACTAATACAGTCAAAACTGGAAGTTGAAAGTAAGGAATTAGACATTTATTTTTAAGGATTAGGCCTAACTTTAATGTTAATACTCAGGAAATTCAGTGGGATGACCAGTATGAAATCATTCATCATCGACTATACCATCCAGGAAAACCCATATAGAAAAATACCTTTGTAAGGTTGTACATGGTGTATCATCTTCCTTGTATAATTCATCTCCCTCCAGACAAATTACTATTCAATGCATCAGTTGCTTCTGTCTTGCACACTAAGAAAGTTTTGCCTTAAGAACAGCAGGCTCATACCCTACAAGCTGTTTTGTCTAAGTGAGCACCAGTAGAGTTTAAGATTACTACATTATGAGCTATTCACCCCCTTACTGAAGAACATTCATATTCTGGAAGCTGTCGGTCTCCCACAAAAAATAAAATTGTCTTCTGGGAACTCTTTTAGCACTAGATTGTCCATTCAGATATGTGTAGAGCAGTTCCTATTGAAGTCCAAGAGAGCCATATAAATGCAGCTAAGCATTAGGTTTGGCTCTGTGTTAGGAGGAAACATGTTCGAAGGAGCCACTATAACTGTTTTCCTATGTGGGAATGGGTTCTTTCTTCTCCCTTATTCCTATCTTTTGCTTTGTTCGTCCTTCCTGCTTCCCTACTTTTGTCAGGCTCTCTCTCTCCTTCAGTTTATACCTACAACTAACATGCTGAATTTGTTCTTCCACAGACAACATGCTAGTGACCAATTCAAACTGGCAAAAGCAATACAACATATGGACAGCGAGGGTTACAGGTCACTCAGCAGGGTAGTGTGGGGCAATTTACAAAAACAGGTCAATTTTTATCTTTACAAAAACCTGAATTATCAAGGTGGATTAGTGTCATTCTGATCTGATCACCATACTGACTTTTTTTCTGATCACCATACTGACTTTTCTCCACTGTGAAACTGCCATATGTGTGTTTATCCTTGAAAATCAGCATTGCAGCAAGTCTATGAGTCACAACTGTGAGCAATGTATTCCTAAATGTAGCAAAGCCATTTCTGTAACAAACAGCAGAAAGAAGTGGATAAAACTAGACTTTTAAAAAAATGAAATGTTTATCCAACAGTTTGGGCAGGCAGGCAGATTTGTGAAGAGGTATCCTAGGCATTTCTAAGGATTTAGAAGGGGCTGCTTGACTTCAGAACTAGTAGCAATGTAGTAAAGGCTGGGCCTTATTGAACATTATTCATGAGATTTAATAGTATACACAAATATTTGACAATCAAAGTGCAAAATGTAAATTAAAAGGGCATTCAGAGAAGATAGGCACAAAATTTAATGTCGGAGAAAAGAGCTTAACAAAACCCGATACAAACAGAAATTTTCTTATTATTTTATTTCAGTATTGTTTATAGCTGTGCAGACACGAACACAGCAGCAATATACTAGTGTATGGGTGCCTGTCTGTCCAAGATGGATGAATTACAAGAAGTAAACAAATGTGATAAATGGTGAAAAATGAATTAGGTTCTTTTTACATATAAAACGTCATGTAAGCGACACAAGGCTTAGCCTGGGTTGCACAGACTTCTGTTTCCCCAGAGGTGTAAAGTCTGCTCATATGGGAAATGCTGTGGTATAATCCAACCCTTTTCCAGTAGGGGCCCCATGTATGTCGTGCTGAGGAGTTCAGGCTAGAGGCATTCTCTGATACAGGTCATCTCGTGAGCAGCCTCTAACAGCAGGGCTTCTATGAAGCAGACTACAATTTAAAGCTGAAGGCTTTTCCTGAATAAAGTCTTTAAAGGGGGTAGCAAAGGCTTCCCTTTGGGAAGGCTTTGGGAGGTGAATCCTTTCAGGGGTGCAGTAATAGCTGCCTGTGCCAGTGAGAATGAATCAGACCACAGTTTTACTTGGCAGGGCCTCTTTAGCACACTTGCCATACCACCAAAACCTAGGGCCATCCAAATTCTTTCAGAAACATATAGTGCATTCAAAATTCCATATGCTTTTCCCTAACTGCAGCCCCTTACAGACATATTCCACTACATGACATATACAGGTATAATAAAACACTAGTATGATTGACTATAAAGAAACTTGAGGCCATGAAGCAAACTGTTGACAGATAAAACTATTTAAACTGCCTTAAATGCTATGAAGAGGGAATATTACTTTAACCTCAAAGCTGCCTGGGCAACTACAGCCAGCAAAAGGTCATCAAAACTTTAATCAATAAACTAGCATCATGATCACCTTGAAAAGAACATGGTAGTAAATCAAAGTGATTGATATTCTAGAGTCTTGTTGATAATCTGTGCCCTTTATGTCTGAACTACTAGATAAAAATGAAAAATACTTAACAAAGTTTGTATTTCTTCAACAATACGCTGAGGCTACATCTACACTTGGAGCTACATGTGCGATTCCTAGCTCTCGTAGCCATACTTGCACTAGCTCTCATCAAGCTAGTGTGCTAAAAATAGAAGCATAGCCTCCATAGCCCAGGCTAGCAATCCTGAGTACGAACCTGTCTAAAACCCATGCAGACATAGGACATAGGTTCAACATAGGTTCAACAAGGACATAGGACATAGGTTCAACAAGGACAAGGGCAGGGTCCTGCACTTTATCCCAGATAAAGTTTGGAAATTCAAGGGCAAAGGGTAAAATTAATTTGTACCTTGGGGAAGTTTTAACCTAAGCTGGTAAAGGTAAGCTTAGGAGGTTTTCATGCAGGTCCCCACATCAGGTTCTTAATTGGCTCCAAGTGTCCTATTTAACCTGGAGTAACCCCTGCTCAATTACCAGGGGAAGAGGGACCTGCTTATCCTGAGTTTAATATACCTTCCTTCCTGCACTCTCCTGTAGCCGTCTGGCCTGACCTTGTCACACCAGCTACTTGCAGGAGCCTTCCAATGGGGTAATGCACCTTTCCAGTTCCATTGATACCTTTGTGGAGGGGGACAGGTACCCGACTCCCTATCAGCAGAAATCTTGGAGAGAAATGTTTGTTGGTGTTCTGTCTAGTAGCAGCAGATGGCAGTGTGGGGCTGATTGCTGCTGATTTTGGAACGGTCATTCAGCGTGGCTTCTTCCTTGGTTGAACAATGTAAAGTGTACAAGATTTGAGATTGAATAGGCACCATTGAACAGAGGGAATTCCAGTGTCACTGCCAAGTTCTACACAGTTCCAAGTGTGGCATTTATGCAAACTACTGAATGAGTTAATTTGCATATGACCAAAAACTTCATCTTACGCTCAACACCCTTCCGCAAGCAACAATGGGGATAGGACGTGGAGCAGCAAAAAGCATGGACGCTATAAGGCTGGTTGGGCGGGGTGGCATCCAGGGGTACTGGTACAAAGGATGTAATGGATGTCTAAAACTGAGGGTGAATTTGTGGGTGATGCTTCACTTGATAGCAATGAAAGATATCTGCAGTGGCTTGGTCCCAACAGGAGGCTGTTGCAGTGGGAGTGTTGGGTATGTGCTGGAATGTCTGAGAGTGTTGGGGTAGGTAGGTAGGTGTTGTCTGCAAGATGACCTGGATCCAACTGGAGCGGGAGCTGTCAGGGGCAAGAGATCTTTCAGGGGGATGGCTACTGGATCCTAGGGCTTGCACTCAGCCCCCTCATCTTTTGTCCTCACCAGCCACTCCTGTCTCTTCCATTCCTCCTGCTCTTTCCAACTGTGGGAGCAATCATGTGGTCTGACTTCATTAAACCATGTGCCACAGCTCAAGCCAGTCTACCCTCAAGGAAGCTGGTGACCCTAGAGACCTTATGAGAGCAAAGTTGGGTACATGGAGGTCTCCTGAATAAGACTGTGGGGGCGGGGGGGGACAACAAGACAGAAAACTAGGAAGTGTCAGAGGACTATGAGGAGCAGGAGAGGATTGGATGGATAACTGCCTGTGGGAGGAAGGGAAGAATATATAAGGACTAAGTATATGTGGTGGGCAGGTGGGGATAGGAGACTATGAAGGAGAATGCAAAGAGGATGTGAGCGGGACAGTTGCTTATCCTGAGTAAGGAGAAACACACAAAGGGATAGAATAGCAGATACCTACTGGATAGTAAAGGGCAAATAAAGTTCACTTTGATCAGTGAACAAGGGGAAAGAGAAAAACACAGACTCTGTGTGTGTGTGTGTGTGTGTGTGTGTGCGCATGAGAGAGACATTGACATTTGACTCCAAACTGATCACACAAATTGAGAGTGTGTTGTACCAATAAAATAAAAGCCAGCAGGATCTTATTAAAGGGAATAAGGCAAAATGCCACATTTATTGTGAATACAGAAAGAATCATAGTAAGCAGTTATGACAGGTTTCAGAGTAGCAGCCGTGTTAGTCTGTATCTGCAAAAAGAAAAGGAGTACTTGTGGCACCTTAGAGACTAACATATTTTTTGTTATAAATTTGTTAGTCTCTAAGGTGCCACAAGAACTCCTTTTCTTCTCTCAAGTAAGCAGTTAGTTATAGCTATAACATTCCATTCAATTTCATATTTATTCACACATTCATTCATACACACTCACACAGGTTCTGCAAGGTTGTTATCATAGTTACCAGCCTTAGAGTTGCTCGTGCCAAGACACTGTCCAGGTGACCTGGACACGAGGAAGGAGCAGGGCCTTGTCAGAAGCACATCTGATGCTACTGGAAGTTGGTTTGCAGAATCAGACCCCAAAGTTCTCAGGTTCTGTTTTTATAGGAATTTTATTCCTGTGCCAGTCTACGGGAATTGCTTCATCATGCTGTTGCTGAATCAATCAGCAGATGGCACATTCCTGACGGCTCCATGCTGCCAGATGTTATCTTCTTCTTTGGTTCTCCCATCCTTGAGGCTGTTGGGTGGATTCCAGTCTGCCCTCCGGGGGTCCTCTAGTTCTTTTCACTTGATGCCTTCTTCGGCCGATCGACACTGGATTCTTAGGCTGGCACCTCCCTGATCATTCATTTATTATGTACACCAAGCATCCATCAACATACATCCTCTATCTCTATTTTAATCACAATTGTTAACAAAGCGAGATGAATACAACAAAAGGGCGTGGAGTCTCTGTGTGCTGTTTCTGTTGTTACAAAGTATCGCTTTGAGTCTCTCTCTGTCTTAGGATGTACTAACACA